TGCGCAATTAGAGTTACAAATCGATGTATGTAGTTAAATAAAATATTGTGAAATAAAATTCTCGGTAATCTGTAATAAATTATTGTTGTTTTTAATCTGATGATTAGGACAAGAACTATTGGTACATAACAATTCAAGTACTAAACCCCTTTATTTAAACTATTAGAGTAACACGAAATCGTTTGATTAATTGTTAATGTTCTGTGAAGGTGTAATTATGCGATACGCATATATGAACATGAATGATTATATCTATTATCGTCAAGTAGCTAATTCAAACTGAAGAGGCTCTTAAAATTATTAAACTTAATTAATAAACACAGTTGTTGAAAAAATTGCAAATTCTTTTAAGAGACGTAAATAAATAAAAATTTCGCTTAAAGAAAAACTGAAAATACAGGTGAAAAAGTTAATAACACAGTTGCTTATAGTGATCTTCACTGCATCTGTATTGTTTTTATTATGTTTCCATATATCTAATAAAAAACTGTTCAAATAAAGTCTTAATCTATACTAATAAAATGACATTTCGTACTACTTATAAATAAATTTAGGGCTTAACTTTCGCCTTCTGGATATAGGGACGTACTTTAGGAATAGAAAAAAGAAATATAGTTTATATAAAGAGCAACAGGTAGTTGTAAAACTTAATATTTCTTTAGCATGCTTTGATTTCCGAAAGATATAGCAGTATTAGTATCTAGCATTTAAAGAGAAGGAAAACAGAGCGCATTGCGAAAGTCACTAAGAAACAGGCAAGATAGGTTGGTAGGTCGCCTTCTCAGATATGAAAGACTAATTAGAAATATATTAGAAGCATAAACAGGACTTAAGACAGGTAGAGGAAAACATTGTTCATATTACTGTTCGCAAATAATTAGTAAGAGATGCTCCTGGTTGTTCTAATTTTTAAGAAATGCGAAGATTGGGTCAAGACTTACTCACTAATTATTCATCAACTTCTTGGACCTAAAATAGCCGAAAATTTGAACAGAGGTTTCCTTTATGGTGTGTACAATGAGTAACCAAAGATATTTCGAACTTCAACCAACAGGGGGATGAAAACAGGTGTCATAATTTACGTGGAGCATTTTTCTTTGTGGTGAAATTTAATTACGTGAAACATGATCCTAATGCTTTTTGATATAATTAATCAAACACATATTTCGGAATCAAAAATGGTTATGACTAGTTTAAAATATACCCGAGTCAAAAAATTGGGACTCATTTTGTCCTCATTTGATCTCAATAGAATTTTTAGGGATATTTCAAACTACAAGACTCAAAAGTCTCATTTTATCCGCGGTTTTCCCGTATCAGGACAAAATGAGACTTTTGAGGAGTAAAGATTATTTAGGAAACCTCATTTTGTCTTCAAAAAGTCTCATTCTTTTCTTGTTGAGGTTAAATTGAGGACTATTGCCATAGGATTGCAGACATTGAGAATAAAATGAGACTTTTTAGAATCCAATGTGATGAGTCTTATGAAAACTTATTGAGGTATCTGAGATTAAAAACGTCTAAATGAGGAAAAAATGAGTCTAAATAGTTCATTTGAGGATAAAATGAGTCCCAATTTTTCGACTCGGGTAGGTAATCATCAAATTTGTAATTTTTTCTTTTTTTGTAAGTTCTTTCGAAGTTATTTCAAATTTTTTTTTTTGTGGAACTGATTAGAGTTATCGTTTCCATTTTGAACCGACGTTTTCAATGCTTTCTTAGATATTTAGTATATGTATGTGGTATCTACAGGTTGATCTCTTAACTCGTCCCTTTTCAAGGTGAAAAATGTTACGTTACGCAATAAAAAAGATATCCAAATAACCAAAATGACCCTGGTTTATTATTAAAAAACTTCTTCACCAAAAAGCATTTCAACATATATGTCAAGTATAAATAACGTGTTAAATACCCTCGTTATTATTAAAGTTCTCGTTTAAAAAATTGCTGCACGCTCAGGTTCATATTCTTGATTTATTTATTTTTAATTGGTCACAACATGTATATATATATTTATATATTTATATGTACAAGGAAAAATAAGGATATAATTCACATATGACTCATCGTTTTTATACGATACAATCAAAAAGTTTATGTTTATTCTGAGAATTACCAATGTAATTAATCTAACCTAATTAATTAGCTAAACATTTGCAGGTTTCCCCGGAAAACATGGAGACAGTTCGAGAAAAGCGAAGGAAATCGTAAACAGAACATGCCTCAAAATTATTATCACGCAGCGGATAATGCATACGATATTCTGTTATCACGATAATTAAATGCTGTATTGAAATTAGATTTTAATTAAACGGCTGCCTTCGATAAATTCGATTCAAGTAGGTACTTGACTGGCGAGATAGCCGAAAACTGCGGAAGATTAAAAGGAACGACTGGTCGAAGCCGAAACCATTCCGCCAACAATAAATATAAGCGGACATTTGAATTATTCCAAAGTGACAATCAGTTTTTCGAATAGTGAAAACACAATGATCGTGAATTACTTGAAGCACTGTCTCCACTGCTCGCTGCTGTTGGGGTTGGTATGCCTGTTCGAATACAACGCGAGGGGGTCCGAAGAAACGAAACCCTTCAACCCATGGATCAGGTATGGATACACTTGGACCATAATCCTGTATCTCCTGAAAGCCGTTACATTTATACCGATTCCCCAAGCGATATTCAACTTCGTCGGACTCATCATTTACAACGCTTTTCCAAGTAAGGTCTCTATCAAATCTTCCCCCGCGAACGCCCCTTTCGTTTGCTTCAGGGTAGTGACGCGTGGTAACTTCCCCGATCTAGTCAAATCGAACGTCCAACGTAACATGAAAACGTGTTTCGAAGTTGGCATGGAGAACTTCTCAATCGAAGTAGTCACTGACAAAGCAATCGAATTGAAGAAACAGCCGAAAGTACGCGAAATAGTCGTACCAACATCTTACAAAACGAAGAGTGGGGCCATGTACAAAGCACGAGCGCTTCAGTACTGTTTGGAAGACGAAATCAACGTATTGGAAGATAAAGATTGGATCGTGCACTTGGACGAAGAGACACTTTTGACGAAGGACTGCGTTAGAGGAATTCTTAATTTTGTTACTGATGGAAAACATGATTTTGGCCAGGGGGTTATTACATATGCCAATGAGGATGTTGTTAACTGGGTTACTACTTTGGCTGACAGCGCTAGAGTTGCCGACGATATGGGAAAATTGAGATTGACTTTGAAGATGTTCCATAAACCACTCTTCAGTTGGAAGGGATCATTTGTTGTTTCCAGGGTAATTATTTATTGTTTCCTTTTCAATTTATTTATTTAATAGATAGGTACATAAAACACAGGTTGATCGACCCTACCTGCACTTCATGAAAATTCATAGTAGGTAAAATTATCAATGATTTATTTTGTTAATAACTAAAAACCACATTAATATTGTATCGTCAAACTTCAGCTTGAATAGATGGTAAATGCCACATAAGACTTGCTAAATAAATAAAAATGTTAAAAGAGTTAAATTTTTAAATTTTAAAAAACGTTAGAACTTTTAAATCAAATTATACTTTAAATCATCAAAAGGTTTATCATTGATTGTCAGATTATATTTAATAGGTCAATTTAACAAACAGGGGCATTTCTCAATCCACAAATCTCTAATTTATTTCATATTTTGAAATGTTTAAAAATGCAATTTCCATTTATATTTGATACAATCTAAAAAACAGTCTATATCGTTTTACATTTTACTGAAATTATTTTTTATTTTGCAAGTAGATTAGAAGTGCGTGTTAATTGAACCAGTCTTAGGACTGACGACACTATGACGATGTAAACGTCCCTGAGTCGAGTTAGTTATGTTCAAGTTAGGGAAGTTAAGGAAAATATTTTTTTAGAAATTAAAATTGACAATGATATGAATTAATTTACCTAATCAATGTTGAGACATTTCAGTTAGTAACTTTTCTGACTCTTATTTTGTTTACAAGACATGCATTGCTGCGACTGATTTTTCAAAAAAAAAATTAACAGAAATTAGTATTAAATAATTTATAATGCAAATAAAATATAAAATTTATAAAAATATAAATACAAAACAATATGTATGCCAGAGAGACAAAACAATATTCATGATGAAATAGATTTCGAGTTAAGTAATGACCACTACGAAGTTTATGTTTTGTCCATTTTAAGCTGTTTCAAAATAATTCCAATTTATAAACCGTTTCATGACTATTTATGTATTGTATATATGTATGTACGCATTTCTTAAAAGTATACGTGCAAGTTTGCAAGTTCATTTAGAGGAAGAAAAAGGTTAAGTCACTTATCAGGCCTTTACGTTGTTTGTTTAAAATATTTTTGTTTATAGTACTTATTTGAATTTTTCCGGGACCCTTGTGTCGAAATTGCAAAAAATTTGAACTTTTGCACGTCTAAATATATTTTGTATATAGTAAGAATAGTTAAGGTTTCTCTGAACCTCTTGATTTCATGTTATCAGTAATGGGATTTTATATTCCATTTATTTTTGAAAAATACGCTGCATCATTTTTTTTTAATAAGGAACATGTAAGTTTGTAATTCGCATAGTGATGAGCAAACGCAAGATGCAATATAGTCCTGATTTTCGTCTTGCTTTTCGACAGTACGTCTTATTAATCTTGATCTTGATCTTAATATTGGTCTTGGCCTTGGTCTTGCGAGAGTAACGCTAGTTTCTGCAAAACAAATCGTAATAATTTCGATAGAAAAATTAATATTATATGTGTTCTGTTACTAACATTACAATTTCGGATCTGTCCTTACTATTGCGAAATTTAGGTTTCTTTTTTTATCATTATTCTTCAAGAAGAAAATCGTAAAAATGAATATAAAATTTAATTTTTGTTTAACTTTAGAACACCCCGTACATCTCGCAATACAGTTAAGCATTGACACTTTTAACACATTTTAAACATGATCAGTGTAAGTAGATGAGTTTTTCAATAATGGGGGTAGATAGGTAGGAGATCCCCTCCCTTGGCAAGCTTATTGCTCTGATAAGTCACAATATCGACACAATGTTTAAAAAACATAGAAACCAAACACACTAACTCACCCTAGACAAAAATTTTCAGTCTCTCTCCAGTCTCTCAGTCTTTCAGCGTCTCTAAGAGCGTCTCTCACAGTCTCTCAGTTATTGCCTAGATGTTTTTATGGATTTCTCGCAGTCTATGTATGAGAGACTCGAACGATAAAATTGTTAACTCAGAGATTCGAGTCTCTCGTTTAGAGATTCGAGTCTCTCGTTCAGAGATTCGAGTCTCTCGTTCAGAGATTCGAGTCTCTCGTTTAGAGATTCGAGTCTCTCGTTCAGAGACTGGATACGAAATGATGATCTCTCTATGAGCGACTCGAGTCTCTCGCTCAGAGACGCTAAACAGTTTTTTTGACAGTCTCTCGACAGTCTCTCTCAGCGACACCAGAGAGACTCGATGAGAGACGGAGACTCGAGTCTCGCTTTCAGAGAATCTGAGAAACTGAACATTTTTATCTCGGGTATATAAACTTACAGCTACTGAAACTGTACGACTCCCCTTGGGAAAAATTTCTCCTTACGCCCATGCTTATGTTAATCTTTTTGGATTTCTTTCAGAGCATTTTTCAAACTATGTTACGTTTAATTCTGTTTAGCAAAGGAACTGTTACAGTAAAATGCTGGAATTCTAGAACTAATGCAATTTGTTTACATTTCCTTATATAAAATTTTCATTGAGTTATTTCATTCTATTTTGTAACTGTATTAGAATTTGGGTAAGAATTTCGCTAATAGGTCTTGTGTATTTAATTTTTATTTAGACATGCAAGCATGTGTAAGTTTTGGTTTTGTTGTTGATCTTGCTAAATGTGCAAGACCAAGGCAAGACAACACAAAACTACAAGAACAAGACTATATTTGGTCAACACTAGAGGTTTGTAAATAACAATTAATAATGTTTATAGGCAAGAGCAGAAAAGACAGTATCATATGATAACGGTCCCGATGGTTCGATAGCCGAAGATTCTTATTTTGCTTTGAAAGCATACAATATGGGTTACACATTCGACTTCATCGAGGGTGAAATGTGGGAAAAATCGCCTTTCAGCATCCTGGACTTCACCAAACAGCGAAAAAGATGGTATCAAGGAGTGCTTCTGGTGGTCCATTCCAAAGAACTTCCATGGTCCAAACGAATTTTTCTCGCCTGTCAGGTGTACAACTACATCTTTCTGCCTCTTCTCACATCAAACATACTGTTCTCCAGCGTATACCCCGTACCGTATCCAGCATTCATAGACTACGTTTCGTCGTTTATAACGGCAGTGAGCGTCTACATGTTCATTTTCGGTGTGATCAAATCGGTGGATGTTAAGAGGGTAGGCCTCGTACGGTTCGCGGCGTGTTTATGTAGCATAGTTTTCGTCATACCGATCAATGTGCTCTTAGAAAACATTGCTTCCGTTTGGAGCATTATCGGTAAAAAGCATCAGTTCGACATAGTGGACAAAAAGATTAAATTAATGATTAACTAATTTCAAACCCATTACGACAAATTTCACGTACGTCAATTGTGGACTTATTCTTTCTCATCTGTACATATTCCCATTTGTGATTCTTTTATGTAATTTATGATATGTTTGTATTACTATCTATTAAACACAGAATATTTCATACATTGTTGTTTTATTGCTTATTTATACGTATTGTTTGTTTATCACAATAAAATGCATAATACTTAGACATCAATATCTCTTTTGATGTAACTTAACAGCTACAAAATTTTATTAAAACGTTGTTATACCTAATATGATAATCAGTACTAATTTTATAGGCATGAAGGCGAACGTTTAAACAAATTTTTAAGAATGATATTTGGTAAAAGAACACTTTTTGAAAACTTTCACTCAATTTTTATTAAATTCTTAACAAGTTTCGACCTGCAAGGCCATCTTCCGAAGAAGGATTGATGCTATTAATGCTATATTAATCCTTCTTTGGAAGATGGCCTTGTAGGTCGAAACTTGTTAAGAATTTAATAAAAATTAAGTGAAAGTTTTCAAAAAGTGTTTTTTTGCCAAATATCATCAATGATCAACTTTCATATAGTCGAGGCCAATTCTATCAATTTTCAAGTTTTTGATCAAGCTATAATTATATCTTGAGAAATTTGAAAAAAAATGTATATGTATTTGTAAACTTTTCAATGAATTCAACGTAATGTAGGTACTTACACTGTCGGAAAATCGCACTTTACAGTGGTAGGTATTTATTTTTTATTTAATAAGAAATTTGTATATAATTCTCAATCGCTATCATCAAACAGTTGACACATTCACTAATGCCTAATTTTTTGATAAACTTAATGGAACGTTTGACATTTTCTACAGTGAAAATACACCATTCATAAACAGGAAAATATTTTTTTTCTATTCACAGAATGTGCAATTTTTGCCAATTCTGATTTTTTCAAAATATGGTTTAGTGCTTTTGAATCTCTAGCTGAAGGGCTATCGTTACGAAGAGTACATACAGTATATCGCAGACTGAAAAATATTTTTTGAGTGGCAAAATAATCGTAAGGGCAGTTTTTATACAGGTAATTATCTGTTATTTACCCAGTTGGAGATTATAGTCAAACTGCTTTCATTATTACATTAGGTGCGTTTTCTTAAGTGCATTTCGATAGATATCTCGAAAAATGGATAACATGTTTTTAGTGGTTAATAAAAATCGCGAGCGCTTTTTAGTAGCATGGTTTATTTTAAGAATTAAATTTTAGAACTAATAAGCAATTGTTTTTAGTATTATTTATTTATATAAAATATA